TTAGGGTGAATTATGTAAAATGTATTTAAGAATATTCAGTAATTTCTATAAGCACTATTGGATATGAGCACCTAATCGAATACAATGCTATTTGATTTGTTATATGAATTTTTCAAATATTCACAGTCGTAGGTTTGAGAAATAAACATCCAAGATTTTCTTTTATTTTTTTTTGTAGAGAATAACGGTAGTGTTTGCAGTTGATGGCTGATGATTATATTCTTGTTCTGATAAGCAAAGCGAATGATGGTTTCTATTGTTACCTTTGTATTGTATATGCAAGACTGAAAAAAAAAACTTCGGCTGTAGAATTTTTTTTTTCATGAAAAGGCATGACATTGCACACTATATCACCATTCATAGCATTGTGTTGCAAACATGCGTTACTCAAACGTATGGCTCTAAATTGGAGGCAGTGTTTACTTAGATGAAAAGCTGAGAAATTTGTCGGAAATGTCTTCTCGTCATTCAAGATGATGTGTCAAAAATAGCAAAGAAAGATCTAGAATACTCTTTTCTCTTGAAATTTTCAACTGCATGTGTCAACCATCTGGCAGATAGGTCTGGCCCAATTTCATGCCAGTGCATTTTGTAACAAAGAAGTGCCTTCAAAGGCGCGACTTTTCGAAATAGTTTTTGATAGAGTTGCTACTTCGGAGGAGTGCGTCAGCGAAATGGCACTCATCACTTTCTCGCTGATGACCTCGATGAGGCCTAGTGTAAACAGCAGGAAGAAGGTGCAGTGCCCTTCCTAGAGAGTGCGTCAGATGACCTGCACGTTTCATTGACCCGTGCAATGTTCTCATCGGTTAACCCGAGAACGCTTGCTCACCACTCTAAATGTAGGCCTCTGGATCCCTTGCCACGAGATCGGAGTATCTGCGACATTTTACAGTGCCTGCAGTTCGAAGCGTTTGTCTCACTCTTTACGAATTCGGTCATCAAAATTAAACCATTGTAATTTTTGTTTCACCGTCAGAAATTTCATACCATCAGCAGAGCAACTTTTTTATGCATCTTATAAACTTTTTGTTTATTGATTTCTCATTGTTGCCTGAAAGGTTTGTAGCCTTTGAATTGAACTAGCGTATCTGCACAATTCTAATGCGCACTGTTTTTGCTTTATGTGCGCATAAAAGTCAAGGTGCGGAAGTGATAGAAACCTCATTTTTTTTCAATTCTGCTCTTATAATGTTACTTGCAAGGTACAATCATGAGTATACTAGTCGTGTGAAAATACAATAATTGACCGTTGTTTGGCTGGTTTTACTCTGTATGTCAAATTTTCATATTTTACATAAGGAGCAATACCTGAGGCCTCATAAAAGAATAATGTACGGATTGGTTGATTGATTGATGATGGCCATTGGGTATGCTTTAGTAACAAGCTCATGACTAGCTGTGGCCACATTAAGTTCTCTAAGGAATCGACTGTTTGCTTTTGATTCTGCACTAACTGATGTGTGAACTTCCCAAACTCCAAAGGGAAGAAACCGACAGATCCCACCACGCATTGTGGGAATCAATGCAATGCAAAGCAGCCAGCAAGGAACAAATCACGATGTACACAGCATGCGTGTAAGGATTTTCATGTAACCACTTCCCACCTATGTTCATCATATAGTCATTTCGCGCCGTACACCATATAAAATAGCCACAAATACACCGTGATCGCGGCATGCAAATCACGTCGTACATGACATGAATATTATGATTTTCATTTACCACCTGCCATTTATGTTCGTCATACAGTCACGTCACATGCATCAAATGCATGAAATGGCCACGAGTGCTCTACGAGTGTGGCAGGCAAGTTACCCTAAAAACGACAGTGAATCTCATGACTTTCATATTACCACCCGCAATTATGTGCGGGAGACAGTCATCACAGGCGACATCATATTTGGTGTATATGAAGCCAGCGAACTAGCCGCACGGGCACTATGAGCATGGCATGCAAGTGCATGATGTACATGACATGTCATGACTTTCAGATTACCACCTGCCATTTATGTTCGGGAGACAGTCACGGCAGGCGACACCATATTTAGTGTATATGAAGGCCAGCGAACTGGCCACAAGGGCACTATGAGCACGTCATGCAAATCGTGATGTACATGAAATGTCATGATTTTCATATAGACACATTGTCTCATATGTTTGTCACACAGTCATGTCACGTAATAACAAGTTTAATGTTTATGAAGCTAGTGACATGGCCATGAGCGTGCCACGAACACGGCATGTAAATTATCTTGTACATGACATTGATCGCATAATTTTCATCTCACCATCAGTCATTTATGTTTGTTATAGCCACTTCACCCAATACCGAATTCGGTACTTTTCAACCTAGCGAAACAGCCTTGAACGCAACATGAGCATGGCAAATATGTCATGTTATACATGACATGCACACCATGATTTTTATATTACAACCTGTTGTTTATGTTAATTTTGCAGAAAAGCCTCGTCATACCACTTTTGATATATAATAAGTTAATGAAATGGCCACTAGAGCACCACGACAACAGTATGTAAATAATGTCATGACAAGTCATGATTTTCAGATTATGACTAGTCATTCATGCTCATCATACAGTTATGTTGTGCCATACCAATTTTGGAATGAATCCCATTAACGTTACGGTCTCCATAGCACAAAGTCATAGGATGGCTAGACAGACAGACATACAGAGAGACAAGACAGACGGACGGACGGACGGACGGACGGACTGACAGATAGACAGATAGATATATAGATAAGGTAGGCAGGCAGGCAGGCAGATAGAGCTGAAAGTCGCCAAAGTTCTCTAAGAAATGCTTTGCATTTAAAAGACAGCTGCGCAAGTGCCAAAGTGCTTGCAATAAGAAACTGCAATATCTGTTTCTAAGAGCGGTACCAATATGCTAGAGTTTTACGACATCATGAAACATTAGCCATGGCCACCACATGCGAACAAAAGCACAAAAACATGAGCAGCACCTGTGATAAAATGCTATGTGAAAAACGTCATCATACCTAGGCTAGATGTTGAAATGGCATTGAAGAATATTGCTCCGGAGTCGCGACTGTCATGCTTTTGTCGATGACACCCAGTCCAACATTTCAGCACTAACATTAATATCGTGTTGAAATATAATCCCTTTGCACCAACCTTCACTCATGGTCAAGTGTCACCCCTTTCTACACCCGAGAAGCAGAGGGGTAGTTTCTACAGATTTGAAAATGTATGTCAATGTCGTTCTTTAATATGCAGTCAATGCTTGGTACAAAGGCGTTTTGCATTTTGTTTCTGTCGGGAACGGTGCTGCCACATTCAAGAGGTGAATCTGTGTCATCATTGTGCTTGGCAACGAAATGTCATTGTCACCGAGATACCACAGTTGGAGGTACTTTGTTGGGGCGAACATGCAAATGTCAGCGAAGGGCTGTGTGACCTGAAATTGTTGCACGCCTGAAAATAAGTTCCCCTGGCAATGATCGACAGCTGACGTCGCTGGAAACAATTGTCCGAAATGCTTTCATAGTTGCCTGAATATGCCTGAAGCTTTGCATTTGTGGCATTGCGGAATATCTAGGTTGTTATTTGGTCGAAGAGGTAGTAATAAAGGGCAGTAAGAAACAGAAAGCATGTCATCAAGGTAATCTTGAATATTGGTGCAAATTGGTCTGATCCTATATAATTCTGGCAACACTTGTCGGAGTTGCTTCAAATCGTAGAAATGGGGGATTCTTGTAGATATGGCAAAGGCAGTGTTATGCTCGACCAGCGTTCCTAGTGACCCTACACAGTCTGCGAATAATGCCGCTTTTGTTCTCGTCCCTTGAATGTGACACCATCATGTGTATAATCAAATACCCAATTCAGATGGACGTGTTGATGTATGTTGTCATTTAATTGTTACCAGTACTAGTAGTGTATAAAAAGTCATGGCCTACTGTAGTGATCCACGGCTTCTAGTGTCGCACATGGCTAGGAAATTTTCAGTAAAATGTATTCAAGGAAGAAATTAGAGGTGCAGTAACATTGCTGGTGCTGGTCACTAGACGTAATGAGGGAACTGGACGAACCACTTCTGCACAGATAACTTACTTAAAGCTGCTTGCACATAAACCGCTTGCATGTGGATGAACTTATCTACGAGTTGTGCCAAGCTATCGGGTGCCACATCACAATTTTTGTGCAGGATTGGCTTAGAAATGTCACAGAAGTGGTGTTTCTTTGTAATTTACAAGTTCCTGTCACTCGCGTGTCGCTTTTTAGGGTTGTTAGAGGTGCCAGCTTGTTGGCGGGTTCATAAGACAGATGGCGCTTCTAATCTGCTGCACGTCATAAAGAGAAATCGAGGCAGGAGTGGCAGGCAGTAGTAAACAAGGGTAGAAACAACAACGGGATATTACAGTTTGTTGGAAGGGATGAGGTTTGGTGCCGTAGGTGGCATCCAAACTAGGCCACAAAGCTTGGTTTGGTGTCAGAAGCTGTAAAGATTAGGTGACCGTATCTCTAGAGACAGCCTGCTTCTGTAGCATCTGTACAAAGCTTGTTCACTGTAGGCATTTTGGTGTGAACTAAATTTACGATCAGAAAAACCTTTCAATACACTCTGTAAGCGGCTTTGCTAGTTTCTTTCTAGTAATGGTGCTTAACTATGCCGATCTCGCTTGGACATGAAGCTCTAAAAGCTGCTTGATGGATATGTTCATTATTGTATAGTGTAAAGAAGTGTTAAAAGTTCCTGGAAAAAGTGCTATGTCGGAGAAGCACTGGCATCCTGTCTGCAGAAAACCGTTTACCTCTGTATTGGCTGGTGCTTACCGAAGCCACGAGTTACACCATCGTATTGCAGAGGCTATGAGAAAAATTCGGATTTTGCACATATCTCGTGTAAGGCCATGCAACCTTGCGAAGTATGCATTGGGTGTGTGCCGCTAGGTTGTTCCAAGGAAGGTGTCAATACTTGTTCATATTAGGTAAAGAAAAGTAAGCAACGTATGCAAGTTGTAAACAGAAAAAACAGTTTGTCTTTTATTTACAAGTCCGTTCCAGCAGCACGTTCTAGCTGACACATCATTTTGCAAGTGCGTAACAGTTGTGCACGAAAACTTAACGAGAACCCGCCATCGCTGAAAAGGCCATGATGGTTAGGTTAGGCGGTACTCTTTGGTCATTCGTGGATGCAGGCCACTTGCTTTCATTTTAAACACTTCGCGGCTAAGCCTGTCTGCATATTTTACCCCCTCAGCTTCACACCGGTGTGCTAGCTTCCAACAGCTTTCACACGGAAATGCAAGACGAAGTAACAGTATAATAAAAAGCGGCTCTGTCATTCCATCTTTTATCTTCTGTTTTAATAAAAGAACACACAAAACTTAACAGTCTCATCAGCAATAAAAGAAAAAGAAAACAAACGCTAACTGGAACACAAAGAAGTCGAGAAACATGAAGGGAGCTGCAAGTCGAGCAGTCGCTCACACACTCTCTTATCACAATGCCGGCAATTGTTCACTCTTTCATCATAACTTATACAATCGCAAAAAAAAAAAAGAAAAAGTGGAGAGTAACGCGACTGAAAAACAAAAAGAAGAGGCATATCGAGAACAATGCTGGACTGGTCGTGGATCACAGATTCGTTGCTCAGTAATCTCTACGCCGTGCACGCGTTGTCAGTCCATGTGTCCATCAAGTCACCGATGAGTGCGCACAGTCGTCACCACGGTTCTCCTACATCTCTACAAACTTTTTCAGAAGAGTCTGGCAGAACCGTTCGATGTGGGCACATTCTTGAAGTGGGTATCGCAGACGCACTTCGCGAAAGCCTCTCTCTTTTACATGCACTCTGGACGATGTCATCGGAGAAGAGGGAAAGCTATAATGCATATAGCCCCTGTCTTGCTTCGAACCGTATTATGAATAATTAAATAAATTAATAGAGTGAAGAAATAAACAAGAGTGTGGGGACGATGGGGAAGGGTGTGTGATTGGGCTTGCGTGCACAGTCTATTACTCTAAGTTCCCTACTTTGAAAAATATATTACATTTTCGTGGCAGCTACCACTGCGTGCTTCTAGAAAAAAAAAGTGGAGAAGCGAGTTTTCGTGGCAGCTTATGTTAGGGGTGAACGACTGTATGGATTGATTGAGCCAAATTTATGCCACTGCCACCAAGTGTCTACATTTTTTTTTTCTTGAGAGTTGCACGATTGCAGCCATGTTTTATTCTTATTATTATGAACTACCAGAAGTCGAGATCAACACCTTAGCCTGCAAACCACAAGCAGGGACACCGTAAAAGTGGGAACTCTTACGAGCAAAACTTTGAAAATGCTGTATTTTGGTGCCACTTCTGAGGAACAAGATGCTTGTTCATGGACCTGCATTTCTTTTTGGTGGCAGAATACTGGGAGGTTGTGGCCATCTGGATGCTTAATATGACATGATAGAAGGCCAGCAGGGAGAAGTTGTGCAAGACTAAATAGCACTAATTCTCTTCCATCGCTTTTTTACCGAAAACTTTTCTTCGCCACTGTCTTGTGTTACTGTAGGATGGACCTGCCTTCTCCCAGTGGTGCCTGGTCGTCTTCCACACTTAGAGAGTCCAGGAGAGATGAAGAAAACAAATAATGTGTGCACTTGGAAGAGTAGGGCTGCCGACACACGAAGGTGACGAGAGAGAACCCTCGTCGTGGACTAGTCTGATGAAGACAGTGCGGTCGGCGTGCAAGATAAGGAGGACGTCTTCCTACGCCGTTTGCACGCTGCCCCTGTCCTCTTCGTCAACGTCGCTGCTGCCCGAGAGATCGGTTGACCTAAGTCATTCGGCGACGGCCTTGCCCACTGATTCAGCATGCCCGCCAGCGGAGGAGGCCTTCTCGTCAGCTGGGGTGCTTGCCGACGAAGAGGAGCTGCCTCAGCTTGTCTACTTCGCTGCGCAGCATGGTCAGTTCGGTGCGCAGCTGCAGGTTCTCCTGTTCCAGGTAGAGCACCCGCAGCGCCGTCTGCTGTTCCTTGATGCGCCGCAGCTCCCGCGAGCGCTTGGCGGACTCGTTGTTGCGCTTGCGGCGCTCCCAGTACGCCTCGTCCTTGCACTCGGCCGGAATGGGCTGCGGCGACTTCTTCGGGTGGGCGCCGCCCGTCAGGCTGGCCACGCTCATGGCGGCCGCTGCGCTGGACGCCAGGAGGAGGGACGACGAGGGAGTCGGGCTCTGGGACAGCGGAGGCGATGGCGAGGGTCGGGACGCCGCGAGGGACATGTCCAGCGCCGCCACGGGACTGTCGTCCGAAACGTCCGACTCGGCTGCTGGGCAAGAAGAGAAACGAAAGAAGGAAAGCCACGTTACAGCCGAGTTGAGTTCATCCGCGCAACGGCTAGTTTCGCTCACAAACGAACACTCTTCGGTAATTACGGTAGCGCGAAGAAGCAAGACATGTAAGACAGGCAGCGAGGAAACACACATCGCTTCGCTTGTGTGGCTCTTCGTTGTCTTTCTCATGCCCCGTTTCTTCTTCGCTCCGCCACAGTTATCGAAAATATGCCACACCAACAAGCCCGAGTTTGAAACTTCGTAAGAAACACCATCACAAAGCAAAGTGCGGAAAAGAGGCCACCACAACTGGCAGACCCATTGCGGACAAAAGACAAAGTACTCACGGATTTAAGGGCGGAGCGGGGTGCTCGGGAAATATCGCAGCGCCCTATGACCCTATAGTGGCGCGAAATTGTTTCCGCACTGTTGCGAATTTCGCCTCAACGTTATAAGATTAACAATACTACGGCGCAGAAGTTGGGTGTGGAAAAATATTGCCACGTCATCCAAAGTGTCGGCCACGAAAACAAAACAAACAAACAAAGAAACTAGCGGTAAATCATCGCTAAGCTAACGGGGAGAATCGTTAACAACGAGGAGCTAGGTTAGTGAACATACAGTGCATTTATGAGTGAAGAGGTCGAAGGTGTGAATCGGGGTGAATGGGGTGACTTGCCGTGCGTGCCCTGGTTCTCGAGTGACGAGCGATCGCTGAAGAGGGGGGGGGGGGGGGGGCGATGTGTGATTCGGCGTCGGAAGTCGAGACTGCACAAACCAAACTGGGAGAGAGCTCCGAGTCAAACGTTAAAAAAAAAAATAAGCCTCTGGCAATGCGAAGGACGTGGAGTGAAAGAAAAAAGGAAAGGCAAAGAAGGCGCCTCGTCAGCGTAACGGTCAACATGTCGTCATGCGACGATAAGGCGAAAAAAAAAAGCGAGCCGAAAACGGCCCTATCATCTCGACGGATTCCAGGCAGGCGATGCGGTAATTCCCCGGTCTCACTGTAAGCGAAACGCTATAGCATTACACGGTCGTGTCGCAACTCCATAGTGTGTTCAGCGGACGGACCGCATGCATTATCAACGAACGGGGAAGTGCCGTCGCATTGCCCATGGCTGGCTCTTTGCCGTGCAACACATACATCTCCCCGCCGACGAGTTCGGAAAAAAATAAAAAAAAGGAGCTCGTTTCCACTCGTTTTTGTTTCCTTTCATGAATATAATCTCATGAGGACCGTTATCGCGCCGTTTCATTATCGAGAATAATAATACATGCTGAGGTTTTAACGTCTCAAAATCGCAATGAGAATAATAATACATGCTGAGGTTTTAACGTCTCAAAATCGCAATATTATGTAACAGTGGAGGGTTCCGGAAATTTCGACTACCTGGGGATTCTCTAAACGTGCGCCTAAGTATCAAGCATTTTCGCCTGCAGCGAAAAAGCGGCACGGATTCGATCCCGCGACCCCCGGATCTGCAAGTCGATCAACATAATAACAGACAACCGTGGCGGGTAGTTTCAACATTAAATATGAAGAGCTACAGAAAATAAAACTGGGCGAACGTTAAGTGCGACCGTTATCCGTACCCATGGGGAAAGTCGTTGCTGTTGCCGCACGAACTCCTGCAGCAGCGCTCGAAGTCGACGGAGGTCTTCACTCTGCGTCGGCACACCGCACAACTCCGCAAGAAGCTTCTAAAGGCACGCGCGCACTCGATGTGGAATTCCGCTGGTTTTGCAGCATATAACGAACGTCACAGAGCGAAAATGCGCGCGCCGGTCTATCACCTCACCTAACTCCCCAAATGCCTATTGTCGCGAAAGGTCCCTGGACCGCGGAGTGATTGAAAAAGAAAATCGCGAGTGTGAACACCCAGATGCGTTGGAAGAAAACGTTGACCTCCCCCCACCGCTTCGTGTCAAGGCGCGCGCTGCGTTTATTTTTTTATACTGACGATAACTGGAATCGCACGCTCGCATTTATTAATCGCCGATATTGCTCTTTTCCTCCTCACCCCTCTAAGCTCCTCCTCCTCTCCGAACGTTTCAAACATTCCCCTTTCGCTTCCTAAAGGAGGACGCGTTAAAAAACCTTCTTGGCGTGACGTCACGGCAGAGAAACGCTGCTTCGTTCGCTTGTTGCACGACGACCCTTGACATTTCTTTCTTTTCGCAAAGAGCGAGCGAAATGGCTGGTTGGAATGAACTGGGAGGGAATGTGACGTAATCAAGCCTGTTCTTATTCCCCGCCCTTGAAGTGCGTTGTTGCTTCGCAAGTTGCACGCCTCCTCCTCCTCCCGGTGCTGTTTCGAGTTAGCTCATCATCCTCTATCATTATGACACTTGCAAGACAGCTGTGTGACAAGGGAGACATGGCGTCAGTCAGGACGCCAGTGTATTCCGGCTGTGTTCCGTCTTCGTTCTCTTCGTATTTCACGTTCGAACGTGTATGCCGTCGTGTACTTTTATACACATTATCGCTCGTAGTTTCACAATAGCCCGTAGTTACACATTAGAGCTCATAGTTGCACGTTATCGATCGCCACGCCAGCCGTTGAATTGCCGGCAGGTAAAGTCCCGATTGACTGCGCGCCACTAACGTCACCGTCAGGAGCAAGATAGCGCTCCTTTATCGCCGGGGTTGCGCGATGGACGCGAAATCGCTGCGCGATTTCCGCAGGCGCGCCTTCCTTCTCCTCCGTCCGGAGAGCGGCAAGTTTCGTGGATCTCGCGGTGCAAACGATTGAGTCACACCAGCAAGACGCCGGCCGGCCGGCGCCCCTTCACCCCCCCCCCCCCCCGCCTTCCCAGAGACTGTTCTTTCCCCGCTTGCGTGAGTCGACGCCACCAGATTCTGGGAAGAGCGACCGCGGCGCGGTGCAAAATAACGTCCGGTGTGCAGCCGACGCCGAGGCAAGACGACGCAATGCACGGCGCTAGAGAGATACCCTCTCCCTCCCCACTTCCCCAGTCTCTCTCGCTGGGGTCGCCGGCGTCGACCTTCGTTTATTTTGATCGGTCAACGCTTCTTGGGAGGAGACTCCGCCGCTTTCCTACCACCGCGACCGTTTTCTTTCAGGGGCGGCGCCAGCGCGGGGGGGGGGGGGGGGGGGGGTGCTTGGCAGTAGTACGGGGGAAGGAGGGGGGGCACGCTTACCCGCGGATTCACGCCTGCCCCCGCTTTGCCACCCACCTCTCAAGAACAAACGGTCGCGAGTCCCTTGCCTCTCCGCCACCCCGAAGGAGCGCGCTTCGGTGTGGGTGCGACCTCCACCCCCCACCCACCCCCTGCTTTTTTTTTAAATTTTGTCTGAAGAAGGCGAACAGCTTTCTGCCTTCGTAACTCTTTCTCTTTTGAGATGTGAATAATAACCCGCTTGATGCAACAACGGCAGTTGTGGTTTGATTCTGATTACGTGCGGCGCGTACCACGAAACGCGGTGGTTGCGTGGGTGGTTGGAGGGGGGGGGGCGAGGAGGGGGGGGCGAGGCTGCTTTTGCGCGGTGGTGCAATACGCCGAACCCGGCTGCGCAGCGCGTGACGTGTCGAACCGGCGCGTGCTGGCGCGGTGACGAATTATTATTCCCAACCCGCGGTGACGCGCTCTTGCGCAAGCGGCCCTTCACGAAGACCGCGCCGATAATAAAACACAAACGCAAGAAACAATCGGCGTTGCGTCGTAGTTTCCGTTCTTCCCCCCCCCCCCCCCCCCCACCTTTGCATGCTCGGCATTATACTGGCAAGGCCGGCGGGCGACTCGTGTTGTAAACAAGTCAGCCGGCGCCGTACCGTCCGAACGTCTTTTTTGCTATGTATGCACCCAGAAGCGAGAGTGCGTGCTGCCAGCGAACAAAGGAGATTTCGTCATCTTTGCCGGACTCGTCCTGCAAAGTTCGGGGAAGTTCTCGGGCTCATACCTGCTTCCAGATTGATCGGCCCGAGCCCGGATTTCTTTTTCTGGGAACAAGCGCCCGAAAGAAGTTAAAAGAATGAAGCGCAATAGATGGTATTGCGTAACGAAGAAAATAATAATAATCGGCGTGTCCGGGAGGATTTTGTCGTAAAAAAAAAGTGTCGCAAATCACTCGGGCGGTATCGCTTTTGTTTGAACGCGTCGGCTGCGTTGAAAACGCGGCGCGCTGTTGTGGGTGGTATATTATTCATCTGGAACGCAATTACCAGAGAGCGGCGTAAGAAGGCGCAATTTCGAAGTTTTGCGTGATTTGTGGGTTCTTTTTCTGCGGTAAACAAGGGCGCGAGCCCCCCTACGTAGCCCCTCTACCTCCTCCGTCTCGACGAGCGCGCTCGGAAAAATAACCGTTTCGCAACTCAATAAAAAAGAAGGCCCGCGTCGTGACGCAAGATCGACTCGCTACGCCTGGAATCGTTGCCGGTCGACTCGTCTAACGAAACAAGCAAAAACGACCGAACGAGGGAAAGGGAAGCGACTGGTCCGCGTCACCGAATCGATTCCGATGCGTTGGTGGTGAATAAGTTTCCTACGGCGGCGGGGCCGTGTTTCCAGCATTCGATGGTGATTCAGCGGAGAGTCACACTCGCGCAACTCTCGGCTTAGTGAGACGAAAGTGTCGTAGTGATTGCGCTAAAGGTTTTGCAAGAGTGAGTGAAAAATAAAAAAAGTTGTCATCCTAAAGTGTGCGGCGATCGTAGAATCGACCGAACACTCCCACATTAAAACAAAAGAATTAGTGCCGATATTGACCACCGTTGTGGCACTGTTACAATGCTGCAATGCTCTTAAAAAAAAAAAAAACAACAATTCGTGGTTCTGGAAGATTCTTTCTATCCCGAGTTTTGGCGATCTCCAATCGGACATCTAAAAAAAAAAAGCGAAATGGCTTTCAGTCTTTTAACTGTAGTAAGCTTATTTTTACTGTCCCTGTTTTCTTTGTAGTTTCTCTGAAACGGCCTGTTTCGGTCGAGACCATCCGGCTGGTCACGCGTTTTGAACCCCGGCGAGACTCATAACGCAATCACACGTGCCGTAGGCGGAGCGCCCCAAACTGCTGTTGTCAACAGTCCCTCCCCTGTGTCGACGACGGTTCTTGCGCACTCTTAGGTCAGTGAGCTGTCGCACGTGCCAAACACCGATCTTTACCCCCCCCCTCCCCTCCTTCCTCCCCAACTCTCGGTCCATGCGCGCGTGTATCCGCTGTGTGTGCATGTGTGTGAGCGAACGTCACATGGAAAAGAAACAGTTTTAGTCCCCCGACTGTGTCACCATTGTTTTTTTTTTCTTTGTGGCTGCTACTTTTTCATGAGAACAGAAGACTCTAGCGGCGCGAACGAAAACTATGAGCGAGTCGATCGAAACCAGTGCTAACTAGTAACAGCTTCGAAACCAGTGCTAACTAGTAACAGCTTCTAAGAAGAGGGAAGGGCTTTCCCCACCCCGGAAGGCGGGGAAGAATGGGGACTGGGGAACGGGGGCGAGCGCCGCGGAAATTTTGGTCAACACATTGTGAAATACACCAGTGCTTGGGTCTGGCGCCCCAATCTACACGTCAAGACCCGATTGAATTTATCAAAACAAAAGTTTTGGGTACCGCTAGCTTTCGGAAACACATGTTCCACGTTTTTTTTTTTTTTTTAATCTTTGGAGTGTGGGCGGTTTTGGTGAAACGGTATTTTTGGCGACCCACGCGCTTGGGAAACAACAACATAGAATACGGGAGAAGGGTGCTTCTGAAAAAAAAAAAAAAACGGGAAAATTGAGACTTATTACAGGGCCAGGGCGACTGTGGTAAACAACGTCTGCTAGCGCGGATCACTTGTAGGTGGTGAGGATAATGGATGGGGACCTGAAAGGGAGAAGTGTTGTGGCGAAGCGAAACAGCCGAAAATATTAAAATAAATAGTTAGACCGAACGATGCGCATCGCCCGGTGGCCTTCGTAGTTGTAAACATTCCCCAGAAGACGTTAGCAGCCGCGGCCCGGGATTGCGGGCCCCAGGTCGGCTGCTGTGTTGGCGGGACAATGGATGGACTGGAGAGCGGTGTAGTGGTGAAGCGGAGTCGAGCGCGGATAATCCACGAAAAACACAGAGCGGGGAATGACCACGCATAAACGCAACGAACCTTGGCAGAGCGGCGTCCTCGCCAGTGGCATCTCGCGTCCCCAGATCAGGTGCGGCTGCTCGAGTATGTGGACGGGCCCCATGTCTTCCGACGATGACTCAGGGCTAGTGGTAGGCCCGGGCCGGTGGAGCAACGGTGGCGGACTCGTCGGCGACGACGAGAGAGGCCGATCGGTAGCCAGTAGTAGTAGCAGCGGCGTCGTCGTGTAGTTTTGAGGTCTGCGCGTGCTTCTCTCGAAACACAGAGACCGTCAACGGACGTGGACCGGGCGCTGAATAAACACCGGGCGCTGGCGCGTCGCCCGTTTCAGTGTGCGCTTTTCCGCGAGAGTGGCAAGGGCACCGACTGGCGCGAACCTACGGAGCGCCGATCGTTTCAACGATGCGCAATCGGTGACTGATTCGTCCACGCATGAGACTCTCCTCCTCTGCTTCCTCACGTATCTCCTCTCTTCGCCGTGTTGTGTGTGTGTGTGTGCTCGTGTACGTCGCGAGCCTCCTCCAACCTTCCCTAGGGTAGAGCCTAGGGAGCTGGGCTCTCTAGCAGTGCCTTTCCCTGGATCGTCTGCTCGCGCCGCTGCACTCGAGAGCCTAGCAGCGCGCGGCATTTCTCCGTGCGCGAGTTAGTTCGCCGACTCGCCGCTGCGTGTGAAACGAAAGCGCGTTGGCGGCGCTGCTGTTCTACCTCGCGTTCAACCCCGGAACAAACGTTTCTCCATTGCGGAGCGGCAGGTACGGAGATGTTTGCGGAGGGTTGTCCGCGATATCTTTATCGCCGGCGGAAAAGGCCCTTTGTGACGGGATCCACGCCGGACTTCCTTGCACATGTAGAAAAAATAATCTTGAGGGCAGCGCCTGTTCCACGTCGCTGTTTTGTACCAATCGTTGTGCTGTTCTCGACAGAGTGTTTAACGTTACGTGCGCCCCACACGAAATGCTTTATCATTCGCGCGTTGTTGGAGCTAGGATAATACTGACTGCCAGTGTTTTTCTGTCTGTTTCTGCTCTTTAGACAACTCGAGAGTCGGCGATGCTGACCGAGCATTCTTTGTGTGTGTGTGTTTTTCTTAACTTTGCATCGACAGCAGTTCTGCGAACTTTAAAAGTTGTGCAAAATTCATAGTGAGCAAACAATGCTGCGCTGACACATCCATTGTGACATTAAAACAATGTTTCTGTTTCCGCGTTCGTGGTGTCACGCGCAAGTCCTGAATGTCAAACTGTAGAGCTCTATTTGAAACTGATCTGTAGGCATATCACATTAATAGTGTTATGGAACTGTTGCTTTGCCATGGTTAAAATGTCGGACAGAGATCTGACGACGTGATAGCTGCTTGTCGCAAAAGCCACACGGAGCAAACCAAGTAATGTCGCGGCACATCTATAGGTGTTCTCCGTCTGACATAATGAATGGTGCGTATGTGCGGTTGAACGTAGTTGTTTGTCTATGCCGTGTTGGTGGACATAGCGCGCTATATGTTCAACCCTCTAAAAATGCAGGTAATGCAAGTACTGGTGTTTGTTCTGACACAGATACGTCATGGAGCGTGCCTGATTGGCCCAGAAAGTACATTGCCAAAGCGATTGTCATGAGTGTATACAGAAATTTTTTTTCTGCTAAGTTTAGTAGATGCGATTCGGTGCGACTGCAAATGCTGGTGATGAAGCGATGCTATTCAGCAGACCGAATGAAGTGTTGAAATCACGCGTTAACTTCAGTTTTCTGGCTTCTAACGGCTTTGTGCGATAGCTTGAGCGAGTCTCAAGGCAAGATCTCTTTATGACTATGCAGTCCGCAGATGCAAATATTTGCGACATTTGTGCACTGGTGCAACTACGATTGATCAATAGAGTAACGAATAGTTACTACAGAAAACGTTTAAACCTTGTGAGTAGTAGCTAGAAGCTAGTAGCGATTCAATGTAGAACAAGAACTAAGGCGTGTAAACACAGATATCAGGTTCTAGATCACAGAAGTGGCACTAAAAATTTTTTTTCGCCTCCCCCCCGCCCCCTCCAGTAAAAACGTACCGTGGTGCGGTTCCTACCAGAACTAGGCGGCACAAACGCTGACTGTCCAAAGACATGTCGCACTTTGGCGGAGGTCAACAAATCTGCGAGTTAAAATGGCTCCAGTCACATTTTTGTTTTTTTTATCCGGGGAGACAGATTTCTCTCGAGATGTTTATATTAAGTCAATGCGGGAATCGCCGCATCGTTTGCCTCCGAAATTGCTGCATCGTTGCGATGCCCGGAGGCCACGTTCTGCGGTGGTTGTTTCTGAATGGTCAGCGGAGCGACATATCAAACGAGAGGTCGGTTGCGCGAGACCGGGAAGCCCGTCTTTCTTGCGCGGGCGAGCGCGAGGAAAAGGAGGGCGGGGCGTTGGCGCGGCCTAGGGACAGTCCGTACCCAGAGTCTTGAGGCAGCAGCGGTCTTTGCTCGGAGGAGTGGAGAGGAGAAGGGCCCTACCCTTTGCGCAATGTCGCGGCCGTGCCCCCTCTTGCCGCGCGGCTGGTGGTAAACAGTTCGATTTGCGTCATCCCGTGCGTGTGTGCGCTCGCTTCCCCCTCGTCCTTTCTATGATTCTTTCTCTCTCTCTCTCGCTTCATATCCGTTCTTTTTATTTTTCCCGATTCGCGGAGCCCATCGAAGACGGCGGCGAAGGGTTGCGGTAGTGCAATAAAGATACAGCGAAATGCAGTGCCGGCGCCCGCCCCGCTATGACTTGAACTGCGTACGATTCGTACGTGTTTGTATGTGCGGGTTGTCAGGGAAGCCGGCCTAGGAGCCGTTCACCGATTGCGAGAAAAGGGGTGGTGGTGAAAGAGTGGGATGGTGCGGCGGCCGAAAAAAGAAAGAACTTAAGAAACGCTACAGGATGATGCAGAACGTGCCGTGCGATTGCGTGAGTTGGCGTGTGTGTGTGTGTGTGTGTGTGTGTGTGTGTGTGTGTGTGTGTGTGTGTGTGTGTGTGTGTGTGTGTGTGTGTGGTGCGCGCTGGGTCTTGTTTCTGCGCACGAGTGCTTTTGCCTCTTCACCCTCAGAACTGCAGTATTTTTGAAATGGTTGATGAGGAGAAAAGCTAGGGAGGAGATGGTGTGTTCTTATTTTATTTTTGCCGTTTTTAATAGACCTGTTTTCGGCCCGTGGAGAGGGTTATGTTGTCCGCTCCTTTTAGTAGGAATGAAGGGAAAGGGTCTTGTATTCGGTTGCGCTTTGTTTTTTGTGTTTGTTTTTTGTGCCGGATTTGTGGAGAGGAGGTGTCGTTAGGAAAGAAAAAAAGGGTAGCGACGCACGGTTGCAAGGACGTAGGTCGTGTAAGCACCGAGGAAAAGAAAATGCACTGCAGCAATAGCAGTGCTTGCGAGTGTTACTTGCGAAGATGAGAAAGAGGAAGATATAAAAAAAAGAAGTGGCTATGATAAAATGTCGGCGACGCTGATCTCTCACCCGCTCCGCGCTCTCGGTTTGTTCGGACTGGCGAGTGTATTGCCCCAAGATTGTTGACCGCAACGGAGCGCGCGCAAGCGATGGGCTTGCAACGTTGAATGCGCGACGAGATCACCGGTAGTCGCGTAGTCGACTGTAGGCGTTCGATTAAAGTTTTTGTGCCGTTTACCACTGAGCGCTACCCAATTTGGTTCGAGTTTTAGATGCAAAGCAGCTATTTGGCTAGCCGGCGTAACGGTGTCCCTCCTTGCGTCCGTACGAACGCACGCAGCGCGCTCCCCTCGGCGCAGGTGTTGGAGCGGTGCCAAGTAGGGCACGCTGCGCGTTTACGTCACGCTGTTCTCGCAGCGCCCGCAGCTGCCGCCTCGTCCGTTCGTCCGCAACACCTGTCGCTCGCTCCGGTACCGCGATCGCCGCTCGCTCCATCGCCGACTTCCCATCTATACAATCTACACCAGCGCTCACCGCAGCACCCGCGTTAGCGCCGTTCAAACGGTGACGCCACCCGTGCGCAACACTGCTGCTTCGCATCACATCGCGGTTCCATTTGGGAAGACGGTGTGATTTTTCACATTCAATCAGAGCCTAAGAAAATGTCTTCAGCCACAGCCATCGCTGTCCGGCCAGCAGATAGTTTGCATAAGTGTTCGATTCGATAGTGCATGCTCATTTTCGTGACGTCAAGTACTTGTGACGTGTTTCACATAGTCGGCTTTGGTCGTTTAGACGCATGTGTGTTTCGCATATTTCAGGTTTGAGACTTGAATATCCTGGTGAATTTTATCATGGATTCTGACGTTCAACCGAACGTGGGGTTTTAGGTAGCAACGACGAACCTTTAATCACTTATGTGCGCAGTGTTGTTTTTTTTTTGGCGCGCCCCTATCTAGGAGATATATGTGAAAAAGGTCGCTCCTAAAACAATTTCGGTACTGCCTGCAGCCGCTCGCACTAACTGCAGGAGACTTAGGCCTAAGTCGTCAACATGCTGACAATGTTGATGACTCGTAACATAGCCGTGAGCTTGCTTCTCTCTATTAGGGGCTGAGAGAGTGGCAGTTTCACCGAAGGCTCCGCCCCTGTGTGCGCGCATGTATGTATCGCACCTTATTGTTTCTTTGTGCTTGCGCTCGTCGAACTACCCGTACAAACGCACGCACGTCTGTTCCTGCGCTAAACAACGAAGCGAACATGCAAATTAACAAAAGAAGACTGCTTTGTGATTATAACCCCGTGGCATCCTGACACGGCGGCCGGTTTGCATTGTTCGTGTACGTCGGGGTGGCAGACAGACATAAAGATAAAAAAAAATTTGCAGATGTCGAGAGCCCGTCTGCGGCATGTTTGTCGGAACGTTTGCCGGCGATAAAGGTTGCCTTGTTTGTTTGAAGAGGCAAGGGTCGAGAGGCTCTCTCTTCTTTTGCAATGCGAAGCATTTTTCGCGCATTGGTATCTGTGGCCTGCTAACCCGCCCCTTGGGCGGCAAAGTGCGCACTGGTGCTACTCAACGAGGAACAATGCAGGCTGGTCACTCTTACTCGCGGTGCTGGGAGGGCCTCTACTTCCTTTAGAAGGGGAACACTGCATGCTGCCAACATCTATGTGAGCTTTTGGGGAAGCTCGTACAACCCATTTGCACTCACAATACGAGCACTATTCATTCGAAGCTTGCATTGCTGCACAAGTGTCGGGGACCCTGCAAGTGCCACTTGACAAAAAACAAACAAAAATAGGAGGAAGCACAAGGTAATGAGAAAGAAGGGGTATTTCAGCTGCACTAACGGGATACCTGGGAGGGGCGAAACATGCAGTGTGCACCTGTCTTTCCCAAATTTAAAGATTCGCTCATTTTACTACTTTACAAGACACGCTAACGCATCATCACTTTCGCAGATGTGTTTCAAGGAGTGGTGTTTCCAATAGATAAAGATGCGCGTTTACGTCTCTTATTTTAGATAAGCTCTAAGCGCCTTGCGTAAATTTTCGTCGACTATTCCG